ATAATTCCTGGAATCTACATGAAAAAGATCCCACTATACAATGTAGTATCATTCTGGACCCAGACACATAGCTGGGAGAACATAGAGAGCCTTGCGATGGCTTGGACCTACTGGAAGGACCCACATCCCAAACTAAGGAAGTCCAACCTTTCCCCAAAAAGGTTTCTCAGAAATCTCTCTCCAGTGCAGCCACCAGCATCCTCATTTAGTGATGAGCAAGAGCGCAGCAGGCAGATTTTCAGTATGATTTTAATTAGGAATCCCCCCTCCTACATTTTTCAATGCTTTAATTTTGAGCCGAATGAAAGGAACGCAAGTCATAAAGTCATAGAGCTGGAAGGACCCTCTCAAGCACACCTGGTCTAATCCTTTGCCATTGCGGAAAGATCACTACTACAGCATGCTTGATATAGAATCATAGAGTGAGAAGGGATCACTCTACAGCAAACAGCACATCAGGGTTGGCCCAATGCCCCACAAGCCACCAGAAGAGGTGAGTGAAGATCTACACCAGGAACAAGGGTGGGAGGAGACTAGCAGCACAGATGCTGCTGTTTCGGTGGCATTTGGTGGCATCAGAAACAAGGGTGGGGGTTGGGTTGCTGAGGAGGAGGCAGATCTGGCCTCCATGGAGTGCACCACAGCTGTTGCTGCCGCTGCGGCAGCAGGAGAATCATTCCTAGGAGGCTGGATCTGCTGCGCCTGTGGATTCTGCCACCCGAGGCGGTTGTCTTGTCTTGCCTCATGGGTATGCCCAACCTTGCAGCACACACTTTAGCTCCAGGATTAGTTTTAGAAAATAAAGCAAAATTCAGGGGCAGAAGACCACACAGGACACAGCAGATTAGGAAAAAACAAGAATGACAGCTCCCCACATTAAATGGGGGGCGCTCTTTGCATGGTCGCACGCAGCCCCCTGGACCCTATGCGGCACCATTAGCACAGGCTTGGCTTCGCCTTCCCCAGGTGGGATACCTGGAGGTCTCTGCCTACCTCAGCCAGTTGCCCAATCCCACCTGGGGAGGCATTGCCAAGGTGATCAGGCCAGGTAGGGGGAGGGACCACCCTCCCCGCACAATAGGGGGAGGATCTTACCTGGGAATCGTCAGTTGGCTCCAGAGCTTCTCCCACCCTACCCACCCTCAGTTAAGACTTCTTTTGCAGGTTAACCTTTTCTCCACAGGTACGCGGGCGCTGCTACGTCAAGGTCACTGTTGAAGGGCAGGAAAGGAATTCTTCTGCATTGGCAGATTTGCCTTTCCCATAGCAAAACGTCACAACTTTGGCGGTGTTAGGCCTTGGGTGGAATCCTTTAGTCTGTCTTCCCTAAATTGGGAGGTTGTCATTGCTCTCCCCTGCGACGGCGGCGTAACGGGGGTGGGCTCTCTCTGCTTGAACATATGTTATCCAGAGCCAGTCCATCCATCACACACACTGGATAACCCTGATGTTCCCCAGATCCCCGGCAGGGGACTGGGAGGGATAAAAACCCAATGCCTGAGCCAAGGTCTACCAGTTGGAATCTCCGTTACAACCGAGATGATAAAGCTCATCTTTCTCCAGTCGAGTCCTCCAGAATCGGTTCCAACGTGATTGATGACCTGAGCCTCTGATAAGGCTCCAGGCACATCCCATTCAGCAGAGAATCCAAAACAGCACGCGGAAGTGATGAGATTTATGGCTACATCGCTATTCTTTATTACTAACTACGCAGACAGAAAAATACATCCTCTCTGCGAGAGCAGAGAGCAACTGGAAACAAAGGAACAAAGGAACAGGAAACCAGTAAACATCACATCCGTCTCCCGTGAGACTTCCAACAGCCTGGAATGTGTCTGGAATGTAAACAGAGTCTTGTGACTCCAAGCAGCTGCACAGTGGCAAAACAGAAACTAACACTACCCACATCTGGAACACAATAAAGTTGTGGCCAATTTTAATCCCATAGCACGTTGTCTTGAGTTGTTATTCCACACGGGGGCTGCCCAGGGTTTTGGGGGACTCCGCCTGTCCATGCAAGGAATACGGTTAATCTGCTTGCCCCTTCCTGAAATGGCAGAGTGGTCATTAGCAAGGGAAGACAAACAACGAACAAAGCTCATCTAAGGGGGAGGAGGTTGAAGCTGGCATTTGCCAACACAAATTGTTGAGAGGAGCACCTTCCAATGCAATGAGGGCGATGTCAGCTTCAGGCCTAGTCGCCTAATATTACATCCCACCCGAGGATGAGAATAGATTGGCTCAGCATTTCAGCCATCACCAGCTTCCACCTGCCTCCACCCTGTCATGCATTAGTAGGAAATTGCTTCCCAGAAGCCAGGTGGCACTTATTTATTTCAAGAACGAGTCAAACTGGAATATTGTTTCTCGATCTAAAGAAATTAATTCTGGAGTCATGCACTCTGCTGCACTTCATGTTGAACATTAGACACTGTATGCAGCTAGGTAGCACTAATAGCACCTGAGGCAATTTCCTTTTTATTCACTTTCTCCCCTCCTGCCAGCTGGAGTCTGGACTAAAAATAGCATAGTTGGTGACAGAATAATGAATCCTAGCGATAAGTGTATTCCGCAGCAATGCAATGAGCTCATTATCTATGTGTTAATGGATGAACAATGCAGAAGAGGGTGGGGGGAGGGACTGGGCAGTGACATACAGTTACAATAAAACTTCAGATTCCATTTCCTTCTTTCTAACGAAAACAAAAAGGGCAGCTTTGAAGGTTATGAAAATTGTAGCCTGACTGGCTGCTTTCAAGGTACTTAATTAAAAATGCACACAACAAACTCGTCTTAATCCAAGGAACCCCTCTGTGTAAGAAATTATTGGATCCTGTGCTCACTGAAATTACAGCAATTATTTTTTTTGTGGGAGGGGGGCTGCAGGAGCAGGGGAATGATATATACGACATGATCCAGCCAAAGTTACATCTTTCAATGGCCCGTAGTTAGCGATGAAACAATTAAGAACAAGAGGGAATCAAGTCTTTCCTACTGACATCAGTGTGACTTCAAATTACTTAACTTTAGTTGGGTTATGCCCGCAGTGCTTGACGCATTGTGTTTATGCATGCAGACTTGCAGTGTCCTAAAATACACACCTTAATCATCATACTTTTTGAAGCAGAGAATTGATGGAAATGATATCAGATCAAAGGCTAGGACTCAAACTTCTAAGAAAGCAGGGTTTGGATCTTAAATCACTACCTTGAAGAAATCTGTAACATTCATTTCTCCTTCAAATCTATCCAAATTAGCATGCATTACTATTATATTACTGTGGAAGGCAAATCTGAAGAGGGGCAGAACTATCCAAAACACTTTTAGTTGTATATAAACCCTGATGAATTCATTGGGACATTTCCTTCTAGATATCTATCAAAATATACTTGTGCAACTATTACTGCAGGAGACAAGTACAGTGGTACCTCGGGTTACAGACGTTTCAGGTTACAGACGCTTCAAGTTACAGACTCTGCTAACCCAGAAATAGTACCTCGGGTTAAGAACTTTGCTCCAGGATGAGAACAGAAATTGTGCGGCGGCAGCGGGAGGCCCTATTAGCTAAAGTGGTGCTTCAGGTTAAGAACAGTTTCAGGTTAAGAACGGACCTCCAGAACGAATTAAGTTCTTAACCCGAGGTACCACTGTAAAACAATCTGAAACATGTTTAGTTATCCATAAATCCATAAATCCCAATGAAACCAGTGGGACATTTCCTGGTAGATATGTTTAGGACCATGGTCTTGGTGATCATTAGCACTATTATTGTCTAGAGATATAGTCATTATGTGTTAGTTTATTATAGTATCAGTGCACTCTTAGCAACACCATCCTCAAAAGTGGTCTGCAACTTGATGCTATTCATGTTTACTTCGAAGCAAATCTCGCTCAGTTCAATAGAACTCTCTCCAAACCAAGTTTGAATAGGATTACAGCTTTATTTGTCTCACTACATTTTGAATGTAGCAATTCTACTGGTAATATAGCATAAATATGAGCACTCTCATGGCACATGTTACAAATAGCAGTGGTCTTTCTAGGCACTTGCAGAAGCATTAGTACAGATGGTGAAAAGTTAGAATCACAATCCTATGGATCTTCTGGGACTGCAGTGGTGGGATTTTGTACATCTACAATTCCAACACACAGGCTACATTGCTTAAAATATGCATTTGATTTCAGTCTTTTGTGTTCCAACCTACAGGTGCACACCCAAAATAGCACAAGCAAAGCTCAGAGATGCTTTTCATGTCCTTTGAGAAGATTATTCTAATTTGGAGGATGCAGATTAGGAGTAAAGTTCAAACACTGTGATTTAGGAGTGACCAAAGGCAGGAAGGCAGGAGATGTGTGCGTGGCTGAAGAGCACTGTAGACATGGCAAATGGGGAAAAGAATCCATTCATACAAATGAGGGCTGAACTGAATGTTCTCAGACAAACGTATCTGTCATGTTTTGGGCAGGTGAATGGGGGGTGGGATACATTCCAATGCATCTTGGGGGCACCTTAGGCAGTGAGGATAAGGGTTTATATTTTTCATTCATTAGTGATAAGACATAAGAGACAGTAGCCGCCAGAGATGCCTGCCTGCTTGCCTTTCTTCTTCTTCTTCTTCTTCTTCTTCTTCTTCTTCTTCTTCTTCTTCTTCTTCTTCTTCCTTCCTTCCTTCCTTCCTTCCTTCCTTCCTTCCTTCCTTCCTTCTGTGGGATGTAAAGGTGCAGTCAAGTGCAACATTCCGAGAGAGAACTAACAGCCAGTTTGTCGGTTGCCGGTAGTTTTGAAGGATAACTGCTCAGTTGCAGTCACTTCAGGACCAACTTCCCTCTGCTATGGTTTATTTGCTTGTTATGTAACCTAAGCCTGCCTTCAGATACAGTTCTGTAAACCTGAATGAATCTGAGAGTAAAATAGTTTTATATTAACATGAATCAGATTCGTGTGTGTATTCTTTAAGAGGGATTCAAAGGGATTGTTAACCAGGAAGGCATCTTTATTAGAAGAACTCAGACAAGTCAACAACAAGCTGATGGCTGCATAAAGGAGATTGTTTAACTCTGCTAAACTAAACCTTTCCACACCTACTTTCTTTCTTTCTTTCTTTCTTTCTTTCTTTCTTTCTTTCTTTCTTTCTTATCCCCTCTTCCCTTCTTGATTTAAACAATTTCACCTTTGTGACATAAAAATCCACACAGAAACACATCATTGCTTGTTTTAACTCGCTTGTGGGAACAACTATGAAAGCTGTGAAAGAAGGAAGGTTAAGAACAGAAATAATTAGAGGAACCATCGGAAGTGACTATGAAAAGCAGTAGAAGTATGAGATGATCAGAACCCTCCGAACTTGAATCATGGGAAGTCCTATTAAAAAATTATAATTTGGCAGAATATTCAGATTATTTTATATTTATATGTATAATTTGGAATATTTAATGTGATTGGATTGGATTGTTGAAGTGGAAAATTTAATAAAAATGATTTTTATAAATAAATAAACAATTTCACCTTTGCTTTCTCACAGTGGCAGCTCCTTCTCCATCTTTCTGGTGCCATCTCATCCAACCAAGCAGAGGTTGGGTGGCCATATGTCATGGCTGCTTTAGCTGAGATTCCTGCATTGTAGGGCGTAGGGGTCCCTTACAACTCTAAGATTCTATGACTCTAAGACATTTAAGGAAGAAAGGAACACAGGAAACTGCCATATACTGAGCCAGACCAAAGGTTCACTTAACACAGTATTGTTTACACTGCCTGATTCTTTAGGGTTTCATACAGGGAATTTCCCCCAGCTCCACCTGGATGAAAGAAGATGCTCCACCACTGAGCTATGACCCTCCCTTCCTTCCTCCCTCCACTAAGTCAGGGATGAATGACTCTGTCAATTTTAGTTTGTTTCCACTTCTCTTTTTTCCAATCTGAAATTCCGTTCATCACATTTCCGCATCGATGTGCAATTAAAAAACACTTTGTGAAAATTTGCCAGCACCTTTCTCACATTTCTCCCAATATATGCATTTTTTAAAATGCAATTGTGCTTAATCTGTGCGTTTTTACAAGCAACCTTGGCACTGTGGCACTGAAGCTATAGATGCCTGCCCCAGGTATTCAAAAGTACTCGGAATGCCTCTGAACATCACTTGCTGGCATATGTGCCAACTCTAAGGGGCCGAGGACAGCTCAGACCCCTAAAGTATGCGGGGACAGGGCTGAGCCCCCCAGTCTTGAGGGGCCAGGGCTCACCGGGTCTCTGTTAGGCCCAGGAAACATAGGAAGCACCGTGCTCAATTCAGCCAAAGGCCCATGTTGTCCAACATCTGGCTCTTGCAGTGGACAAGCAGATGCCTCTAGTGTCAAGGATGATTGGTGGGTGCTAGAAGAGATAAGAGTCCGGGCCTCCAGCCAGTTTTACAGGTTTTATTAGGTCCATTTTCCTATTTACACACAGAGCTCTCAGAGCACGTCCGGCTCATTCGGTATCAGATGCAGAGACTGAATGTTCCTTTCGTTTTCTCCAGCATAGCCACTTCCGGAGCCCTCCCTTTTCCTTCCTCTTTTACGTGAAGAGCTAAGCCCCGGAAATTGCTCCCCCCTCCCTGATTCATTGCTTCCTGACATCCCTTCGTCATCCTCCCCCTCTGATGAGGTGCAACTACTTACGATCGGAGGCTGATCTCTGTATTTCCCCATCATTTCCCCCTTCTCAGCCCCCAGTTCCCTGACATCTAGGAAGTCTGCAAAAAGCATCTGAGCACGAGAACACTCTCCCCACTTGTTATTCCCAGTAAACATGTGACATGGGGGAGGGGCTTGTGCTCATGTGACTTCTATATAGGATGCACATCATAGCACATGCACATATATGTATAAGCAGTACCTTAGAAACAGAAAAGACTAGAAAACAAAGTGAGATGGAAGGAAAGTAGCTGATGTCTTGATGAGAAACAACAGTTGTGCTTTAGGCAAATTATGGCTGTAAGAAAACAATTCCAAAACAAACATCTTCATAAAACAATGGCTGAATCTATCCAATGAACTGAACTGTAATTCACATCTGTCACAAGTCTAATATCTTTGTCTGCTCCGCACGCAACTTTCACAAAATCTACAAACACGTCAAATTATCAGCAAAAAACCCCCAAAAAACCCTTCCTCAGACAATAGCTCATCAAGTCTGATTTGCTGATACCCTTTTACAAGTAGCAACCCAAAGCTGTGCTTCAAAACTGCAATAATTACAAGACAATTGTTCGGCACAGAGCCTTATCATTTTAATGAATCAAAGATATAAAAACCAGGCTCTCTTTAGACATAGCTCATTTGAATTAAAGTATTAATAATAACTTCTTCCAATCAGGGACAGAGAACAAAGCCCCATTGTGAGCTTCAAGCAGACATTTTGAAACTCAGATCATTCTGCTCTATTCCATTTGTAGCATTTGATGGTGTATATATTTATACAGTGTTTAGATGTTTAAGAGAATGTAAGGCTGCAATTCTACCCCTACTTACCTAGAAGTAAGACTCATTTAATCCAGTAGGACTTAACCTCTGAGTAGACATGGTTAGGCAAACACAGGAAGATTTTACAGTGGTACCTCGGGTTACAGACGCTTCAGGTTGCAGACTTCACTAACCCAGAAATAGTACCTCAGGTTAAGAACTTTGCTTCAGGATGAGAACAGAAATCGTGTGGCGGCGGCGGGAGGCCCCATTAGCTAAAGTGGTACCTCAGGTTACGAACAGTTTCAGGTTAAGAACGGACCTCCAGAACGAATTAAGTTCTTAACCCGAGGAAACACTGTATTACATTTAGACTTTCATACTTGAAGCGTATCTGGGTGGTCATCCTTAGGGCTGGTTTGTCCACAAATGAAAGTCTGCATTTCTAACCTACCATGCTATTACAGCCCACCAAACATATATAATGACCTGATAGTACAACCTTGACATTCTGTCTGTTTCTGCAGTTCTAGGCAGGCAGTAAAAAACAAGCAAACCATGAAATTTCCCCTCACTTTACAGCTTTAGACATAGGATGCTAAAATGCCCCCTTTCCTTGAGTCTTTTGTGTGGGCTATGAATATTTACAAAGTTCACTGACTATGACAAGTAAAGCAAGAGAATCTTTGGGTTTCCTGGGTAACCGGATGATATTGTCTGTCTTCCCAGCAGCTGATAGCACAGTGTGGGGTGATAGGAGTATCTTTGTACGACTGAGGCCACAGGAGGCCTCTCTACAGGACCACGTCAAAGACATTTTGGTCCCTAAGGCAAAGGACAATATGGCACACTCCATTCCATATTCAGAAGCCAATGGACCTGCACAGAGGTGAGGAATCTCAGGCTTGAGGGCCAAATGTGGCCCACTAAGCTCTCAATCTGGTCCTGAGGATGTTTCCCATGTCACAGCACCTCCTCAGCCACAGTTCCTCTGAGTAAACTGTTGAATTAAGAATAGCAAAATCACAGCTAAGAAGCTCAAATCATATACAGTGGTACCTCGGATTACAAACACTTCGGGTTACAAACTCCGCTAACCCAGAAGTAGTATCTCGGGTTGAGAACTTTGCCCCAGGATGAGAACGGAAATCATGCGGTGGCAGTGGGAGGCCCCATTAGTGAAAGCGCGCCTCAGGTTAAGAACAGTTTTGGGTTAAGAACGGACCCCCAGAACGAATTAAGTTCATAACCCAAGGTACCACTGTATATAACTGACACCCTTCTTTGGACATTGAACCAACACCCAGACTTTAACCTTCAAAAACTTTACTTGCAGAGACGTAGTTATGGATGAATTAAAACATAATATTTACAGTCACATGCTTCTCCAAGCATGGGCTTACTGTCTCTTCTTCTGATTTCCAAACTACTGTATTTTCCTCCCTTTTCAGAGCTCAGCACTCAGCCTTCTGTATCTCAATTAGACCATGAGACATTTACACTTTTACCTTCTCCTGCAGCTTTGCTTTCTTTCTTTCAAGCAGAAAAGCATCCCAACACTCTATTCAACTTAGCAGTGTTCACAGTGGATTCTAAAACACAGTCATCTTGCTTCCCATAAAATGGAGTCTCCCCTTCACTAGATACCTCCCATGTGACCAATGTTAGCCAATCACACGAGAACTGCTAGAGAACTCTCTAGAATTCAGTTACTAACCAATCAAATTTAAATGCATACAAGCCTTTATAATTTCAGTGAATTAAATTGCAGTACGTAACATAAACTACATAAGCACACACATTACCGGTGAGAATAAATGGACCACAGTCAGCCAGAACCTTGTTAGTTTTTAGAAGGCACATTTCTGCATCATTCTAACTATAATGTTTATCACATCAGTATTTCTGCTGCCTAACCCCGTCCATGACAAGTTATGGGTTGGATGCTTTCTCTGGCTCCACTTTATAGGAGGCAAAATAAGATCTTGCAAATGAGCTTATAAGAAAAGAGAGGAGCATAGCCATCTTTCCCAGAGGGGATCTCTTTCAGGCTTCTCTTCAGTCCTCCTGCTGAGGTACGGGTCAGCTTCCATTCCCCCAGCTTGCCTTTCCCCCTATTGGCATCCCAACTCTTGAAAGAATCTTAAAACATTCCACAGACGAGCGGATAAGTAAAACTTGCCTGACTGCAACTTCTGACAAAGAGAAGAAGACGGTTCTTGATGCTGAGACTCTGGAGAGGAAGGACTGAGAGGGCCCTCTTCACAAGAGTAACAGAGGATGAATTCTGTGGAGATTAAGCCAAAGGGTTGGACAGAATGCTGAAAACAAAGTAATGTCTGCAAAAGAGGCTGTGAATTTGTTTGAGCTGGGGAAGGGGGGACACTTTAATTGAACCAAAGCTTCAAAGAATGTAACAAAGTCGAGTATGAAATACGAAACCAGAGCAAGTTGTAGCTGCATAAATAGGTATAAACGACACAGGGATTTAAGGCGTCTTCAGTGGGAATATGCATATAAGCATTTGTTCAGGTTGCACTTTAATTGAAACCTACCTAATTAGTTGGGGCCTATTCTCTGGAACTCCCTGCCAATTGATTATGTGCACTTAAAAAAAAATTGGTTTTATTTGTATTTTGAAAAACAAACCAAAACTGTTTTTAAAAACCGTCTTTATTGCTATTGTAATGAACGTTTCATACCAATTTATTCAAACTGCTTAGATTTTTTAAAATTAAGCGGTGCATAAATCTATATCTGATCTAGGCACCGGATAAATCAACTTCTCCAAGGCTGTCCTACCTGACTATCAAGGTCCACCAGGGATGCTCTGCTTGTTGCCCTGCCTTTAGATCCTGCAGGGCAGGCGGCAATGCATGACAGAGCATTCTCAGTGGTGGCTTCCCAATTCTGGAAATGCCTCCAAAATAACATTTGACTGTTCCTCACATTGGCCACATTTAGGTACCAGGTAAAACCTATTTCTATTTGCCCAAGCCTTTGGGATATAATCAGTATTTGTGGGCGATTCTGTTATTTTTTGTTATTTTTACTGTTGATGCTTTATTCTCCTTCATATCTGGCTATGATGTGGTGTTAGTGATATTTTACTGCTGTGTGCTGCTATGCATGCAATACTGAATTGTTAGCCCCTCTGTGTTCCCATTGGGAGGGCTATTGTTATTGTTTTGTTCTTAATATGGTAAGTATTTTTGTGGTTTTTATATTGTAAACTGCCCTGGGATCCTCGGATGAAGGGCAAATTTAATTAACTTTGTGCTATTGTTGTAACCCAAAAATGGTTTATCTTCTGAGTTTACCCCTATAAAACTCAGAGACAAGAAGGGTTAGGAGTCTGTTGTTGTTTACTGCAAAGCAATAGGTTACAGTCGAATCCTTTTGCAAAACTGCAACCCCGCCCAAGGGTCTGGGCAGGGGCATTTATAAGTTTCAAACAAAGCATTTCAATTTCCACCAATCATATACATCATTACCTTATGGTTTGAGATACCCAGTGCTTTTTTTCCTTAAAAAAACATTTAAGAGTACTCTCATTTTGACTCAAGAAAATCACCATTTTGTAGTTCAAATCGGGGGAAATAAATACAGTAAATGGACAAAAGTACAAAGAACATGCATTACCTCATATTACACAGCTGACAGCTCACAGTAACATCCACATTGGCATGAGGTTGTGTGCACTAACATCTTCCTACTCGTATTGAAATACTGCCCCACAATGAGGCTAGACTTTCATCAGTGAAACATCACACATCCACATTCCACACTGCTTCACACATTAAACGCCCGCTTCCGTCTGAGGCTCAGGAAACACTGGGAAAGGAAATGAGGCCGCTGTCAGAACTGATGATTCACCATGCTAAAGAAGAAACTAAATTTAGATTCACAGAATGTTTAGGGGTATGCGTATCCCCAGAAAAAAAAGTACTGGATATACCAGCTCAATGAAGTCCTGTGTTTGGTGACCTGAATGTGATATTGAGAGATGACATTTGGATTTTTGGTTCAAATGTAGTGAATATGCTTGAGGTTTTCCTAGGGTCAGGCCCTATTTTCCGGCACCTGCCCAGTTTTTAAGCAACTGAATGCCTGGATTTCTGCATCGCCGGTGTAGCAGCACTTACTTGGCCCAGCGTCAGCCATAAAACTAAAATATTAAAAGCCCAGATTGAGTGAGAGAGCGGTTTCATTTGTTTTTTATCTGACTAAGATGAAGCCTTGGAATAATCAGGCTAAAGTGAAAGAGGATACCTGGCTAAAGAAACAATTTATTCCAATTAGGCCAATTATCTTGGCTATAGTTCACCAGCGTGAAGTGAAAAAAAGGCAATTAATGTGCTTTGGCGCTGATACCATTCCTTTGGACTCTTAATTCTTTTAGGGCTATTAGCTTTTTAAATCCACTTCCATGACGGTAAGTTAATTTATACTAAAATCAAATTGAAAAGTAATGTGTAGCTACAGCTACTATCTGAAAAGCAGCACCAAGTAAGGTTGTAAACATTCATTGAGGCAGAAGTTGGTGATTTCATTTAGTTGGTACTTTAGTTGGATTTGTTTCGTACAACCGTCCGTCCCAGCAAAAACAAAAGACGGGAGGGGAAATGAGAGAAGAGAAGCAAATGGAGGAAAAGAACCCCATTTTGTAACAATATGGCTTCAGCACAAGGAGTTATACCAGGAATAGCCGATGGGGGAACTTGAAGGAGGAACAAAAGGTGAGGAAGTAAAGCCAGAGGGAGAAAGAAAATTGTGGGAACGGGCCCTGCCAATGCTCTGCATAAAATAAATATGTTTCAGCCATATGTACATGAATTCTAGAAAACAATTCCCATCCAGTGGAATGAAGCTACAAGATCCATCCCAATAAATAATGTCTACTCGTCTGCCAGTGAAGAATCAGGAAGTCTATGCCCCTTCTGGGCATTTTCTTTCAGTTTGGGATAGCACCAGTCCTTTTTTTCTGCGGGGGAAAGGTGGGGGAACTCACCACCAAGTTTGTTGGTTGGTTGGTTTGTTGCGGGCCCAGTTGCAGAGCCACCCCCCCCAGCAGTGGCTAAATGTAAGATGTGATTAATAAACTCAAGCAGGCAACGATCTGGATTAGAAATGGCCTCAATTTTATGGATTACAGATATACAGTGGTACCTCGGGTTAAGAACTTAATTCGTTCTGGAGGTCCGTTCTTAACCTGAAACTGTTCTTAACCTGAGGTACCACTTTAGGTAATGGGGCCTCCCACTTCCGCTGCACCACTGGCACATGATTTCTGTTCTCACCCTGAAACAAAGTTCTTAACCTGAGGTACTACAGTGGTACCTCTGGATGCAAACGGGATCCGTTCCGGAGCCCCGTTCGCATCCTGAAATTAACGCAACCCGTGTCTGCGCATCTGCGTGTGTGCGGGTCATGATTTGCCGCTTCCGCGCATGCACGTGATGTCATTTTGAGTGTCTGTGCATGTGCGAGGGGCGAAACCCGGAAGTAACGCACTCCGTTACTTCCTGGTCGCCACGGAGCACAACCCGAAAATGCTCAACCTGAAGCTACTTCAACATGAGGTATGACTGTATTTCTGGGTTAGCGGAGTCTGTAACCTGAAGCATCTGTAACCTGAAGCATCTGTAACCTGAAGCATCTGTAACCCGAGGTACCACTGTAGGTGGATTTTTGGCTCAGGCAAATAATTATTTATTTTTTTAAATTTAAAGGAATTTAGTTCCCCCAAGTACCTGCTAAAAACACACACACCTCTGGATAGCACAAACAGATAAATTGGCAGATGCAACATTTTTCAACTGTTTATGTCTTTGGCAAGTTGTAGGTATTGCACAATGTGTGTTAAGTGGGTCTTCCATTCCTGGTAGCCAACTGAAAACCAAATGAAAAAGAGCAAAAAAAAAAACCACAGAACACAGATTTGAAGAAAGATTGCATATAATTTTATTTGTAATTGTACAAACATTGTAATTGTAAAAAAAATCACAACAATTAAAATTGAAGCACATATTCCTATACTGGGGGGCACTGTGACTAGCTATGTTAGAGAATTCCATCAGAAATGGGAGCAGAAAATGCTGCAATTTGACTGTTCACCTGAGAAATCATGCAAGTGAATATGAGCAGTATTCATTCCGTTCCTTTTCCCAGTCTACAAGTGTTATATGAATAGCTGCATTGTTTTCTGCATTGTTTTTGTTATTTACCTGCCATTGAAATGCGTACCCAACTTTTTCGATTGTTCCTCATAGAATTTGCTTCCCATTCTGCTCTCCACTTGGATCTTCAGCAATTAAGTGTTCCATGGTAGATTTGAGTTTTTCAGCAATCAGGTCCAAGGGGGAAGAGCTCGTTGGAAGCAGAATTGTCAAAATCACTGCTATTGGCTCACAAAAGACTTCTTTTTTTGGAACTACCAGTCTTGCAACCTTTATTTTTAATTGCATGGAATAACAGAAATTATTTTTGTATACATTTCTCGGCTATATGTAGAAATGCTTCTGAAACGCTGCCAAATGTCTTGGTGTACCTTACCCAGCGTGTAATTAAAAGTTCTTTGATAAAGCAGGCTTGTGTACCAAACTGTAGAAGCAAAAATAAGATTATTCTTCTTCATCCTCTTCCTCATGGACAAAAATGTATTTGTTAAGATGTGGAGTTTAAATTACTGCATCAAGACATTCGTAGTTTCCTTTCCTCATTTTCCCCCAACTTAAGTTCAGTTTTCTACATTTCCACATCAGGTTTAAAAACAAAAACAAAACAAGCGCCTCTGCTAATATATACATTTTTATGTGTAATTTTGCCATAGGCACATTTTAACAACTCATTTTCCCTAATATAATGCATATTTTTGTATGTTGTTTTCACAAATATGTGGAAGAGTGCAAATGATAGCACTCTAGAGATGGCTATTTTGCCCCCTTCCTTGCCATGTTTCACCAGAAAGTTAAGACCTAAAATTAAAAATTAAAAAAAAAACCAGAAGGCTTTCCCTTTGGGGGTAATAAACTTTAGCTGTGTAACTTTAAATCATCTGCTGCCTGGGTTTTTTTTAAAAAGGTATTAATGCTATTGCTGTTTACTATGCATATGTGAGACCTTTTAAAACTATTACTTTGTTGGTTTTATTGTATTATTCTTTTTAAAAGTGTGTCTGATTTCAAAAGTATTTCAAAAAGTTTTTTGCCTTTTTTTATTAAGTTGCCTTGAAAACACTGTAGAATGACATAGCATAACTTCATAAGCAAGCAAGCAAGCAGTATTCATACATAGAACCATAGGAGTCAACTCCTAGGGGCCAAGTTCCCTTCGCCCCCTCCATAAAATATTCTTGCCTCCCCTCCCTCTATCATTTGTAACCATGGGAGTCCTCCTGCCCCTGGCTTTAACACTTTCATGTTTACATGGTGCTGCAGAAGTAAACCCTATACAGTGGTACCTCTACTTACGTTCACCTCCGAAACAACAGGATATCCCAACAATT